GGACTTCCCCAACGACCAGCTTTAACCTTATTGCTTCCAACTCACGCTGGGGTTAAAACAAAAAACGCCTTCAACGACTTTGTAATAGACAGGGAATTAAGGGGAAAATGAAGTTTTATATTGACACCAAAATGGCTACTTGGGGCCTAGCGCGGTGGCTCATGCGTGTAATCCCAGCACTCTGGGAGGAGAAGGTGGGAGGATTGCTTGGGCCCAGGAGTTCGAGACCAGCTTGGGCAACAAAGTGAGACCCTATCTCTATAAAAATAAAAATACGAAATACAAAATCAGCCAGGCATGGTGGTGCCAGCTACTCGGGAGGCTGAAGTAGAAGAATCGTCTGGGCCCAGGAGGTCGAGGCTACAGTGAGATGTGATTATACCACTACACTCCAGCCTGGGTGACAGAGTGAGACTCCAACTCCAAAAAAGAAGGGGAGGGGAGGGAAGGGGAGGGAGAGGAGGAACAGGGTCATCGCCATCTGCATACCCATCACCCCTGGTAAGGAGCTGGTCTGAGGTGCCAAGATCCAAGAGCAGCTGGGCCCAGGGCCTGGCAATTTGTGTCACAGTCACTGTCCTATCCCTCCCCGGGCTCTCCTTCTCTGGGACCCACCAAGGGCAGTTGTGACTCGGGCTCAGATGAGGGATGCCGGGAGGGTCAACATTAGATGGGAGTGACTAAAAGCAGCAGCAAGAACCAGGAAAGCTTCAGGGGCAGGGGGTGGGGTTCCCCCAAAGATGCCCCCGAATCTAGAGATGGCACTGTGTGCTTCTGGTATCTTCCATGCAAGGTGAGGCTCACTCATAGCCTAGAGCCGGCAATAACCAGGGCTTATGCTCTGAGGCCGTCGCAGTGCCACTGACTTACCTTCTGAAGGTGGACTGAGGCTTCTAGCTTACACTCTGTGTGCATGGGCGCCCCCTCGCCCCCACCCAAACCTGTCAACCATGACTCGTATCGCCATAGTACAAAGGCACAGGTAGATTCTGCTCCCGATTGGGATGTGTATTCTATGCCACGGCCAACTGTCACCAACAGAGTTCTGACATGAAACAGGTGTATTCCATTCTGAGGACTGTTAGGCGATAAATAAGTCAAAAATGGCCAGAGAATTTAGGTCAAGGTGAGTTTATTGTCCAAATAGCATAACCTAATTGCATCCAAAACCATTTTCAAATCCATCTTTAAACTAGTCAGAAGAACAGGTTATTATTTTTAAAAATCACTTAACACTGAACAGATAAGACCTCTTAACAGGCGGCTGACTATATCATGTCACCAACATAGCCAATACAACATTTTTGCCATACTTCCTAAAAACCTTTTTGTTTACACTGATCATGCTACTTTTAGCACTTTCTAGTATCTCGACCAAATAAACACCCACACCTCTTATAGAGTACATTGTGAGAGAATAACATTGACTCGATATGGCATCACACTTGTTTTAAAGCGAAAAAAAAAAAAAAACAAGGAAAAAAAGAGAAAGAAAAAAGAAAGAAAAAATCCAAGATGAGAAACTATAACTGAGAGAGAGCTGAGGTACATGGTACAAGGGTAATGAACACAATGGGAAAAATCCAATGGCCTGGTGATTTGCTGGGGATAGGAGCTGGCCAGCAGTAAGAACTAAAACCAATTAAAAATAAAAATAGAAACGTTGGTTTTCAAGGACAGGCACCTGTCAAAAGACATTGGATACTGTAATGGCTACAGTCAGTAAGGCACTTTTTTTCCCCCAAAGTAGGCTGCAGGCAAAAAATAAAATAAAATAAAATAAAGGAAGGCCACAGCCACGGCGTGCATGTATGCATTTGCTGATGGCTTCTCGAAACCTGAGCCAGGAATAGGGTCTGACAGCCCAGCCAACTTTAAAAGCAGAGACACACAAATGTCATTATCATTCTGATCGAAATGACTATTCTGGGTTGTTTTGAAACCCAGAGTCATCAAAAGCCATGTGGCACGAGGAAGTAAAACACATCCTCTTGAATCTTCTTACCCTATTTTGTACACATAGACGGCTGCACGAACAGCTCATGAAAACCGCTCTGAGTCCACACCAATAGAAGCCTGCACTCGCTCTATAGCTACAGAGGGTTTGTTGGCTTAAGGGGACTTTATCATCTCAGCATTGATTTCCCTTTTAAAGCTATTCTCAAGGTCGGACTGTCTCAAAGATAAACAAAGAGGAATCCTTTTGGCGTACAAGCCAACTGGCTTACTCGGACGTCCTCCCCGTTCCTGCCTTCAATTCCCACACTACCAATATTATCATCTTGAACTAGAAAATCAGTTATTTACATGACATAAGGTGCAAGTCTATTTCTTCTCCCAGCCCTGTCCCCTGCGGCTCCCGGAGAGAAAATTCCCCTGCCCTCTTTGAGAAAGTCGCCCAATCCTGCCCAAGTCTCAGCCTTTCAGTCCCAGCGCTCCCGGGGCCCAGGAGGAGAGGCCCAAAGGTACCAGACCGCAGGGGCCCAGCGGCTCCCTGGGAGGCGCCGCCCCATCCCGCGAGCAAAGGGATGCGGTGTGATGCTCTCGGGGCTGTCTTCTCCTCTGGCTTTGTCGCTTAAGCACCTCCGGTGGACAGCACAAAGACCGAGGGGAGCCCGGCGATCAGACACGACGTGCTCTTCGGTAGGGTCCCCGGGCAGTTGGAAAGAAAGCCCCCCGGAAGAGCAGCCCCTTCTCCCAGGAGCTCACGTCCTCGGCACACGTGAGGCGTGCTGATGAGAGACCTGCCCTCGCTTCCTCCCGCAGGCTTTCTGGCCGTGATGAACCCGCATGGAACTTAATTATGCTTAGCATAGATTTTTGGCATACTAGGATTTCTTCCCCTTAGGGTTCGGCCAAAAAAAGGGGAAGGATCAAAATTTGGCAGGCTGGGGGAACAGCGTAGCCCCTGCCGATGGAGAAAAAAACAAGCAAGAGAAAGTAAAGAAGAGGCTGAAAGATGAAAGAGATATTTTCTCGGAGATGGAGAGTAAAGAAGAGATGGAAAAACAACAAGGTAGAAAAAGGCCAGAATCGGTCCAGAGGTAGGAGAAACAGAGAGAGAGAGAGAGAGAGAGAGAGAGAGAGAGAGAGAGAGAGAAAGCGCGCAAGAGCAAGTTCAAATCCACGGGGAGAAATGAACCCCTCTAGAGCAAAAGCTCCTACCAGGGAGACCAAGATTGAAGGGGAGGGCGTCAGTCACTTGGACAAACGCGGATCCCTTCTTCTGTTGAAACAGGGAGCCGGCAGAAAAGCCAAACCATCTCGTGGCCTCCCCTCCGCAGCCCTGCACCCACCATCCCGGGAGGCCCCAAGGATGGGAAAGAGAAAAAGCTAGGAGCACCCGGTGGCAGCAGGGGCTGCAGAAAGAGCCTGTAGGGAGAGTCGGGTGGGTCTGTGCCCTTCCGTGTTAGTCAGGTTCTTTCATTGGCTGCTTCTGCTAAAACTCAAGGGTCGGCCGGTCACTGTTAAATGCATCTGCACCTCATTCAGACTCCAATGAATTCTCTCTTTAGGCTCCAAGGTTCCCAAGATCCCCAGGGATCGGGCTCTCCCCATTCCGTGGGACTCCCTGGGGCCCGGGAGAGCGTGCTGTGCCCACTGGGCTCTCGACAAAACACTGACTGACTAACTCGCCGGCTGCTCCATTCTCCTCCCTAAATCTTCGGAATCCACCACCTGCTGTCCCACCAGAAATCCCCTAGAATTTTAGGGCCATGCTTACTCGCCAAGTCCTGAACCCTTCGAAACACGCTTCCCAAGAGACGGACGCATCCGAAACTTCGTCTCTGTAGAGAAGCAGCCTCTCCACCCCTCCACCTCCCTTCAACCGTCATCCCAGACTTATCTGACCTATTTTTCTTCATGCACCAATTCAATGTGATTTAGTACCGCTTAGCAGAGGACCTGGCTGGCAGAGTGCTTGCCGCAGAGGCCGAGACGGGGGCTGGGGGGCACAAGGAAGCACCACAAACTCTGCATGCTGCAGACTCGTCTACCAGCAGACGCAGGCAGGCCGAGGAAAGCTTCGGGCGCGGTCCTACACCGGGGGAGGTTCATGCCAGGGAAGGGGACGGCCCAGCAGGGAAAGTTTCAAGATGGAAGGGCCCTGTGAGGATGCAGGGCCCTGTTGTTGAAAAAGCTGCAAGATGAGGCTCTCCCAACAGCCTGCTGGAACTCTGTGTCGTCTGTTTCCAGACACCTGGTACCTAAGTGCAAACTGTGACGTCCTAGTCCACTGCGTGATGTGTCTGTGCTGAATGTCTGCCTTGCAGGGGAGGGAGGGTCCCTTAGTTCGATTCATCCTTTCCATCACGAGGAGGATCCCGGGGTCAAAATGGGAGCCCGATGGCCTTCATGACTGGAGAGGGGTCCCTGGGTGTGAGCCCACCCTGCCTTCCGCCTCACAGGGAGCGCAGCGCCTCTCCCACCAACCACCACCTCGCCTCATCTTCTCTGACCCTTTCCACTAAAGGGCTCCCACGCAGAAACTGTACGGTTGTGAGGTATTATTGAAAACAAAAGTGTGAATCATTGCCTTTTGTAGTTATTGATTTTTGTCCAGTAAACCTGAGGTAAAGAATACTCTGTCTTTGAAGAATGTAATCAGAGAAAAAAAAAAAAAAAAACCCCAAAAATACAACCATGAATATGCTACCAGAAGAAAACAAACTATAAAAAGGGCTTTTCCAGTACGAAGAACTCATATCTCAACCATCTACTTCAGGACTTGGAATTTAAGCAGTAAAATAATATATTATAAAAATGTTTATAAAATAGCAGCACACTCCGTGAAACATTACAGCTAGGTACTGTTAATGTGAATAAGGATGAACGATCTTAGCTTCTTAGCAGCGCAAAAAAAAAAATTAAAAACTGAACAAAATAAAATGAAAAATAAGAGACCCTTAGATTTTTCTCCATCTTCAACCCTCATACTATGAAACAAGGCAGAGTCTGCGTATAAAGTAATTCTTCAAAGTAGCCCTGTTCTGAATTTCTTTTTTACTTAAAAAAGGCAAATATTTTAACAAATAGCTTCATTACCTGTCAATTATAATTGTGCAAAAAAAAAAAAAAAAAGTTGTTGCTCCAACCTCTTTGCTAACTGAATGCCTCTAAGAAGTGGAGAGGAGAAAAAAAAAAAAAATTCAAGTACGCTGAATACAACTTTGCTATAAAATTAACAAAAAAAAAAAAAAAGGAAAAGGGAACAAAATGCCACACCCTGTTGTTCAGCCATCTGTCTTTGCACCAGCAGTAACTTTCCTTCCCACATCCAAAGGAGAAGTATATAGTTGGGAATTAAGATCCTTCTGTGCCATCAAAATGGTAACTGTTTTTAGGCTTTTCCGAGGAATGTTGTGGTGGGAATGTCAGCGGAAAGGGGTGTCTCACAAGTCCTGGGAGGGTTACCAGATCTATGTACCAGAGAATGTCAGATACCAGGAGTGAAGAGTAACCCAGACTGAGGGCAGGAAGGGAGGGGGCAAAGGAGGAGAGGGGAGGGGTATTCAGCATGATTTGCATAAACCATCCCATCATCCCCCAGGAACAATTTTTCAAAGTGCTTTTCGAATGGAATGGTTTATAGCAATGCTAAACTGTGGACCAAACATGCCAATCAGCACCAGAAATTCGTTTTTTTTCTAATAAGGGATGCCAAGGTCACATTGCCCTGCTTCACACACTAGGAGAAAAGATTCCATTCCGGATCCCACCCTTGGTCTCCATCAGCTTCCGTTTCATACAAGTTTGGGTTATGGGCTGTAGCTGCTAAATTTCCCCATTAGATAACAACATGGTGGTGTCTGCAATGAACCGCGTTTGGAAGAAGAAGCAGGGTGTCACAGAACATGAAACCCAGGAGCCAATCACCTGCGTCCAACTGACAAAATAAAACATCTTTTGAAGGTAGCAGCTACTGTAGGCAGCAAGAGGACGTCATGTAGAGGTCCAACCACACTCCCTACTTAGTAACAGGCGGCTGGGAGCAAGGTGCTTCTGCATCCAAAATGGTCCGATTATGTTGAGAGATTGTTTTGTACTTCCTCCCCATCGCGTCCTTCTTATTTCTAATTCCTTCTTGAGTTCATTGCTTTGCAATCTAATCATGCCATACATGGCGTACACAGTTCCTTGAAATTATACTAGAAGAGGGTGTATGTGCTAGCTCATAACATGAAAAAAAAAAAGTCTCCTCTAATTTGTTCCCATATTGCAGGCATACATATTCTCTAGCTACTCTGCAGGTTTTCCTGTAAGCATTTTACTATTACTTTTACATAATCAAACAGTAACTGTTCGCATATACAAGGGATTCCCTTATGTTGTACTTTGAATAGGCACCAGATGCTTTTAATTATTCAATTTTTATAGGACCTTTTTCTCTCACTTCTAAAAGATCTTTAAATATGATCTAGGTGGGGGCAGGATTTTTTTTTTTTTTTTTAAGTTTCATCCTAAAACACAAAGAACAAAATATAACCAGAGAGAAGGAGAGAGGAGAGGACGCACGCGCCTCTCTCTTGCGGCCCGACTGGCATCCTCACAGGTCGATGTCCCGCACGTCTGTAGGGGTGCTGGCTTGGTCCAGTTCATCCTCTGACTTGGACCCATCGCGCTGGTCCTGATGGTACTGCTGAAGGCTGTTCAAGAGCACAGCCTCGATCTGCTCCTGGCAGGCTTTGAGACAATCCTAGGGAAAGGAGCCAGAGGAGAGCCGTTAGTGAGATGAGCAGGCCCCGGGGCATTTTATGAAGAAAACATACAGCGTTCGGCTTGCATGGTTTTCCAGTGGAAATAAGTGTGAAGGACAGGAGAGGTGTTCAACAGAGGGGGTCCAGCAGCATCAGCATCCCTTAGGAGCTTGTTGGAAACGCAGAGTCTCGCTCCACCCCAGACTAAGCTCGTTTTAGCGGAGCCCCGGGAATTCACAATCTGAGAAAGCGCCGCTGGCTTAGGATGGTTCCCCTAAGCGTGTGCAGGTTTGGCAATCGGAGGGTGGACGAGATGCTCTTTGCCTGGGGAAGCTGAGAGGTGGCAGAGAAGAGGGGAAGGCCACCAGAGGTGCCATGCTATTAGCAAACAGAGTCCCTGAGGACTAGATAAGAAGGAAGACAATGGACTGAATTGTGCTGACCCTCACACCAGCTGTGTAAGCACTTAAAAGCAAAAAGCCCCTGGTTTTCTGCTTATTTACCATTTCCTCAACACTATAAAAACACAATGTAGGATGTTTACAGGATACTGGATGTTGGAGCTGTCCAATTTGGGAATGAGCGAGGCTGTGCAGTATTACTTCAACATCAGTCTAGACCTGGTCGGAGAAATTCGGAGTGTGTCTGGCCCAGGCAGAAGCTTCTCTCAGTGGGTGACACAGAACGCAAGGGCAAGTCATGGGTGTCACTAGGCAGGACTGTGGCTCATGCTGGTCAGTGAGTGTGGGCCGACGCATGTCTAAGAAGGCCTTTCCAGCATCTCTCCTGTGCCGGCCTTTCTGCCCTCTCTGAAGTATATAATACATAAGGAAAATGTTAAATGGAATCTCCCTGTATCTTTCCATAGTTCAATAGACACTTCTTGTAAGTTCGTTTTCCTGTGAGGTTTTCACCACTTAGAGATTACGACTTGGCCAAGCACAAAAGCATTATATTTCTCAAAGATCCAAAAAGAAAGCTGCAATGAACTACTAAGAAACAAAGTTTCCACACCCCTAAATTTTCCTTTTTTAATCACTCATCTCTCTCACATCTCAAGCTACAGCCTGTGATGAAAATTAAGATTAGGAACTAGCTGGGTGCGGTGGCTCACGCCTGGAACCCCAGTACTTTGGGAGGTGGAGGCGAGAAGACTGCCTGAGCCCAGGGGTTTGAGATTAGCCCGGGCAACGTGGTGAGATCTCGTCTCTACAATAAATCAAAAAAATTAGCCAGGCATGGTGACGCGTGCCTGTAGTTCCAGCTACTTGGAAGGCTGAAGCAGAAGAATCTCCTGAGCCCAGCCGGTCGTGGCTGCGGTGGTCATGAGCGTGCCACGGCACTCCTGTCTGGGCGACACTGATACTCCGACTCAAAAAAAAAGATTAGGAACAACAGCAGATTGAGTGTTGGAGGCAGAGATGAAATATCAGCTGGAAAATATAAATAATGAAAAGAAGGAGGGTGGGGTTTGCTGCCCACCCACCGTATCTGCAGAGAGCCACCAAGTTATCTCACTTTTCTGATGTCAGTTTCTGATCTCATCTGTAAAGAGAACAAAAAGTTTAGGCTGGGCACAGTGGATCACAACTGTAATCCAAGCACTTTGGGAGGCCGAGGCAGGAGAATTGCTTGGGCCCAGGAGTTCAAGACCAGCCTAGGACACATAGCAGGACCTCGTCTCTACAAAAAAGAAAAAAGAAAAAAGTTAGCTGAGCATGGTGGCCCATGCCTGTAGTCCCAGCTACTCAGGAGGCTGAGGTGGGAGGATCGCCTGAACTCAGGAGGTCAAGCCTGTGGTGAGTCATGGTGGCACCACGGAACTCCAGCCTGGGTGACAGAGTGAGAGAGACTCCGATTCAAAGAAACAAATAAATGAAAAAAAATTTTTTTTTAAAAGCTCAAACAACAATTGAGATAATAGCTGCATTCTAAGTGGCAGCTCAATAAATGATAATTATTAACAATGTATAACAATAAATCAGTTCTAGAGTCTGAAAGAGTTCTTTAGATTTCTTTGCAGTGAGGTATGGAGTAGCATGCACCCAACCTGATGAGGAGTCCGCTGTGGATCTGGCATCTGGGAAGGTGCTGGACAAGATAGGTCAGACCCTGCAGCAGAGATCTCCATGCTACCCTGAACAGAGCTGAGCTAGAGTCGGACACCAGCCACCAGGGACCTGCTAACGTCTCTCAAACTTTTCTGTGGCATCTCCCAGCCACACCCCTTAAGCCTGTCTAACCCCCTTAACTAGTGACTGGCAATCTCATGAATCTTGCCCATCTCCCGGCTCAGCTCTTTATTTCTTTTTTCTTTTGAGTCGGCGTCTCACTCTGTCGCCCAGACCGGAGTGCAGTGGCCGCTCCCGGCCACCACAGCCTCGACCTGCTGGGCTCCGGCGATCCTTCCGCCTCAGCCTTCCGAGTAGCCGGAACTACAAGCATGCGCTACCACACCCGGCTGATTTTTTTATTATAGAGATGAGTTCTCGCTGCCCAGGCGGGTCTTGAACCCGCGGGCTCAGGCAATCCACTCACCTCAGCCTCCCAAAGGCACGCGATTACAGGCTGAGCCACCGAGCCCGGCTTGGCTCTTTATTTCTTTAAGGCCCACCCGGCAGTGCAGTGCTCAGGTCGCCCCTCGCTAGGTGGAAAAGGCTAACAGCATAACGTTTCCAGAAGCACCTGCATTTCAATGGACAATGCTTAAGAACCCTAGAGCCTTAGAATTAAAGAAATGACTCTTAAATACAGAATGAAGCTGGGCGCGGTGGCTCACGCCTGTCATCCCAGCACTTTGGGAGGCCGAGGTGAGAGGATTGCCTGAGCCCAGGGGTTTGAGACCCGCCTGGGCAACTTGGCGAGACCTCGTCTCTACAATAAAAACAAAATTAGCCGGGCATGGTGGCGCATGCCTGTGATTCCAACTGCTTGGAGGGCAGAGGAGGAGGATCGCCTGCGCCCAGTTGGTTGAGGCTGTGGTGGCCGTGAGCATGCCACTGCATTCCAGACTGGGTGACAGAGTAAGACTTCAACTCAAAAAAAAAAAAATACAGAATGGAAACAAGTGTGGGGGTTATCATATCAGGCAGAAGTGACTGCAGTCAAAATTCCTGCCTAACAGTCCTCGTGCCATCAAAGCCTTTCTTCTAAGGCTGGGACAGACCGGAACACACAGTTCTTTGGGTGGACACCATGGGAGGGAATGGGCTTGTTCATGATGCTATAAGGGTGACACCCATCTTTATTTTTTATTTTTATTATTTTTTGTTTTTTTGAGTTGGAGTCTCACTCCGTCGCCCAGACTGGAGTGTAGTGTCACGCTCCCGGCCACCCCAGCCTCGACCTGCCGGGCTCCAGCGATCCTTCCGCCTCTGCCTTCCAAGAAGCTGGAACCACAGGCCCGCGCTACCACGCCAGGCTAGTTTTTGATTTATTTCTTGGCGTCTCGCCAAGTTGCCTGGGTGGGTCTCGCACCCGCAGGCTCAGGCAATCCGCTCGCCTCGGCTTCCCAAAGTGCTGGGATGACCAGCTGAGCCACCAAGCCCAGCTGACACCCATCTTGAAATGCTGGAATCACTGTGGCGTGATGAGGGGCTCACCTGAGACCCCAGACGGCAGCTTTGCATCTCACCTCCTGTCCATCCTCCTCAATCCCTGCGCACCCTCACTTGGTAGAATGAGGGACCTCGGAACTTAAATTGATTTTCCTATTATGTTCTTATTTCTGTATTTATTTATTTTGCAGGCAATAATTAGTGGAATCCAGGAAGTTAATGTGTGATGCTCTTCCACTGTACAGGGACTAAAGGAGCTGTTGAAGGGCATGTTTAAAATGTGTTTTTATTTTGGTCTGGTGCGGTGGTTCATGCCTATGATCCCAGCACTTTGGAAGATCAAGGTCGGAGGATTATTTGAGGCCAGGAGTTCAAGACCGGTTTGGAGCTAAGTGCGGTGGCTCACTCCTGTCATCCCAGCACTTTGGGAGGCCGGAGCGAGAGGATTGCCTCAGTCTAGGGATTCGAGACCAGCCTGGGCAACTTGGCAAGACCCCATCTCTACAATAAATCAAAAAAAGTAGCCGGGTGTGCTGGTGCATGCCTGTAGTTCCAGCCACTTGGAAGGCAGAGGCGGAAGGATCGCCTGATCCTAGCAGGTGGAGGCGGTGGTGGCTGTGAGCGTGCCACTGCACTCCAGCCTGGGCGGTGGAGTGAGACGCCTACTCAAAAAAAGAAGACGACGACCAGCTCGGCCAAAGTAGCAAGACTTCATCTCTACAAAAAGATTTTTTAAAAATGAGTTGGGCGTGATGGCGCATGCCTGTAGTCCCAGCTACTCAGGAGGCTGAAGCAGGAGGATGGCCTGAGCCCAGGAGGTCAAGGTTGTGGTGAGCAGTGATCACGCCACTCGCTGCACTCCAGCCTGGGCAACAGAGTGAAACTCTGACTCAAAAAAAATTTTTTTTTTCTAGGAGGCAAGGAGAATGAATCAGAACACCTCCATACCCTGGATACAGTGGCTATATACTTGCCTCTGGCTGTATACCTGTCCATGGATGAGGAAGACAAATCCAATCCAAAACATAAGGCCTACAAGCTTTTGTTATGTAAAGAAGATGGCAGGATTCTCAGTTGAGTAAGAGACCAGCACAGCCCTTGGGGGAATACTGTGGCCTGCGTTTTTATAGACCTTTGTCCTCAAGAAGGAAGCTAGCGCTTCTGGGCCAATCCTACCTGGCCCTCCTTCCTCAGAGGTTCTGTTTTGACCCCCATGGCATGGTGATCTGGGTCGGGGTGTCTTCTACCCCAATGCTACGACCAACTCAGGCCTCCACGGCCGTGGGTGCACTGGCCACCCCAACACTGTCCTCCAGCTGGGGCGACCAGCCTCCAGAAAGCAAAGTTTTAGGTTAAGTAAGTATCCTCCTTTTGGGGTCACTGACATCCCTTCTTTCCCCACTATCCAACCTTCCCTTCCAGCAGTCCAAGGCTTTAAGGGA